CTATGATGCAGTTAGACGATTTCCTATCATTTTCCTTTACTTGGATCTGTAAGAATTAATCATTTGTGTTGAATTTTTCATGAATGACCTGAAACCAGTCTCTGACATCATGTGTCACTGTTTGGGGTCACTAATGCGGTTCTGATTTTAAGGTGAAAAGGGTGTATTTGGGGTTGGGCATATAGTAGTATGCAGTGAGATGATTTTTCAGTATGTTACTACATGTGTAAAACTTTTTTTTAGGAGTGCCCTTAAATCAGTGTCCAGTATCACACATCAAGTTTTGGGTTGAAGGTCGTTTCCTGCAGTTTTAGGGCAAACAAAATTACTTTGGTTTTGTCAATAATACAAGGCACCGAGATGATTTTCCTTTTTTTTCCAGCTTGAAATCACTCATGTACATCACACATCAAGATTGGGGTGAAACTATTGAACAGGTCTGATTACTGTGAATGGTGCGCTGTGCGTATGCTGCATGGTCGAGTTGCCTTAAGTCAAATTGGTAAACCGTACTGGGCGTTGGACCCAAGTGTCACGTAAATCGTTGGCGCAAACGCCAGTGGCATTGCCTCCATGCAGAAAACCATGCTGGCGCTCGAGATCTGTCCGGGATATTTCTGAAGATTTTTCTTTGAAATTCGATCTTAAAGGTGCTGAAAGGAAAGCAAGAAAGTTACTACTGAATTATGGACAGCAGGTACGAGTGGTCTTGACTCGAGGTGCGTGTTGTCCAACGTACGAGTTGACTCAAATGTATTTTTGAATGCCGTACATTTGCTGACTACGCTTCAAGTACCAACCGTCTGCACCGGGGCCAAAAATAACAGCTCAAACAAACTTGGGTTGTAACCTGCCATCCTGCTGCTAACTGTGATTAAATTTGAAAGAGAAAGCAGCTATGTACGTGAAAACAAATTTTACTTTTACGAAAATTTCATGGATTACATGTCCACACTATCAGTGATACTATTTCCGTTATGCAGTTTTTTCACCATAGCGTTTTTGAAGATTCAAGTACGGTATCGTGTACTCCACGAATATCTGTTGGTATTTGCATTGATCATTTCATTGAAGGCACGGGACTGACATTTCTGCATATGCAAAAGTGCGCACAGAAAGTAAAATTGAGCTTTTTCTTATAATTTAAAATAACTTTTTTCACTTGCAAATTTCTAAATAAAAATGTTTTCATCTGTACAAACTTTTCGTAGTTTTGAAAAACCCTGTAGCACTCACTATAAATATCTGTTATGCACTGAGAAAATTAATGGAATAGTGGCAGCTCTAAATTATGATTTGTCTTTGTTTCCCCAATAACAGGAAAGCTATAAATAAGTCAATCATTTCACAGATTTTGCATTATTAATCGAATTCTTGGAAAGACTGCTACGGACACAATCGATGCCAAAGGCTAGGCCTGGGGCGCGCATGCACCGGTACATGTACATGTACGTTTACAAATAATGTACTGTGCATGTACTGTATAAAGTACATGTACTGTACATGTACAAACATGCACGTGCGTGAGCTGGTAGACTCGGGCCTGGCTTGCAGGCCTTCTCAGTGGACTAGTTATAGAAGTGTGCAGATGTTGGCCGCAGTCGCTATTTCGCCGCGTGGCCACCGGCGGAACTACAAGTACATGTACAAGTTGCGGTCCTTCTTTGCAACGAAGAAAGCAAATCTGGTGAGTATATAGGCCTATGGATGATAGAGTAAAAGATCTGATAATGACATCTTGCAGGCCTACTACTGGTACTGTAGTTCTTGCAGGCCCTTTGTAGTTCAACTTGTGCTGCACTTCGTAATTAGCATCAAGCGTCTTCTTGGAATTCCTGGGGAATGTACAGGTAAATGGGCAAACAGTGCGTCTATCTAAGTGAACTCTTATTTTGTCTTATGAATGGGCGTCACACTACATGTGTGTAGGTGATGGACATTGGACACTTGCTTTTGGGCATGTGATTAGTAAGGGGTATTGCAGCACACCTGTGTACAAAAATTATTTATTTCTATGGGGTGAATTTTTAGTGTGGCCTTTGACAGAAGTGGCAATTTTCGTTTGCTGTCCAGTTTAATATAATTAGACATTCCCAAATTCCCTGCAATATTTACACCCCTATTTGGTCTTCATCGTTCATTGAATGGCAGGTGATATGCTCCATCCAAACAAATTTAATTTACTTGTACATGTACCAAAGCTTCTTTCAGTTTTCGAAAATTGTTTGGAGGCATTTGCAAATGCAAAATATACATAAAAATGCCAAAACAAGGTTTGTGGAACTCATGTACATGTAGCTATTCAGTGTTACCATGGTATAACATGCTCATTATGTGAATTACTTCATGCTTGTGCAGTAATGTGTACACGTAAATGTAATATTAGTTGAATGTCATTTCTAAGTCTTCCCTACATGTATTCAGATAGTTGCAAGCACTTCTAACGAATACAAAATAAGGGTTTTGAACCAGGCCTTCAGTGTATGTGCATGACCAACATTTCAATAATTCTGTCATAATAATTTTTAAGAAAGTCATTGATCGGAATTTCTTTAATTATTTGGTGCTTGATCACTCATAATACATACATGTAACTCTTAGTCACTGTGACAGTTTAAGGGGTCATAATTTGGATAATTTGGGTGTTCTTCAAAATTTGCACATTCACATGTTCACGTACATGTACATTGTACATACATGTACATGTACTGTATTATTCCTTTATGGCACATATGAACCAGCATTGCCTGTTGTTTTTGCACAGTTGAAGGCCATCACTGGCTTACTCCCAGACTCAAAATAAGCTTCAAGTATGCTTTAAAAGTTGAAGAGACAAAGGGTTCCCACATGGCTCATCTATTAGAAAGATTTATGATGCTGCTGATGCTGCATTGGTATTCCTGAACCCTAATTCCTGCTTGGTTAGCCCCCCCCCAATTCTAGACACATTGTCTCCTTGACCAGGCCATCACTGAACAGCTGGCCAGACATTGATCAAATAGCCCTTCCCTGAGTATAAAGCCTTTTACAATGAATAGGTAAAACGAGTTACATGTATATGGTCTCATTTTTTTCCTGAGAGTATGAAGTTGCTCAAAAAAGTTCTGATATCAAGTGTAATCGAAAATTCAAGGTACTTGTACCTCTAAAGAAAACTTTACATGCCCTACCTGTTCATTTACAAATACCAAGCTTCTCATTAATGGTATTTTATGTGTTATTATAGCAAAACCAAAAGGGAACTGCGCAGTGCCAGAACTACCGGTTGGCCTACTGTACATGTCTGCAAACATGCACAGTACATGCCCGTTCGGGATGCCGGTATCAGCCAATTCAACATTCAATGACATGTCTTAATTACTTCTTGTACAAGTATGACAAGGTAAGTACAAGACATACCTGTGCCTGCATGCATGGCTACAGATACATGTACATGTACATGTATTGTAATCCATCCATGCCAAGTTGCAACCACATTCCCATTCCAGGAATCCTATAGGCAGTGATAGGCCTGCTGGAGTCTTCAGCTACTGAATGCAATACTACAGTAGGCCCAACTTATTACTTGGACAATGACTGATGGGTGTGGGAAGGAAATAGCCTACAAGTACATGTAAATGAAAATGCATGCTGGGTTCGTACATGTTTCCACTACTTGTTCTGTTGTACATGCTTTCTATGTAGATGTACAGTATGACAATAAAAGTTGTCTTGAGTATATCATGTGTATCCAAGTAATATGTATGTAGGCCTACATACATTTTAGTGACCTGTTCACTTTGAAACATAATGTGTGATTAAACTTTTAATCCAGCCACATGAAGCGTCAATGTAATACACAATACATGTACATTGGTCATATCAAAATAGTGGTCCTGTACATGTGCCTTAGTAAATATAAGTATTAATGAGAAATGTTACCAAAGGTACTGATTTTACTCTGAATATTTCAAAGGGGAGACATCAGACCTACGGCGATAACAGCTCAAGCTTTTAAAAAGTACTTTTTTCAGCCAGAAAAAGAAACAAACCCTTGTAAATAGTTGGCAATAGCATTTAGCAATACACTCAGGGTGGGTCATCCATCCCACATTCCATTCATTCACTTTAGCCCTTCAGGGACCAGATTTAGGTAACTTGTTTCTGTTACAGTACAAATTATCTTGGGATGCCTCCTATGAAATTCTTTGCAAAGGCATCTTCCAAGTTACAGTTTATTCACAGGGGTGTAACTGAGTAACATAGTTGTACAATCAGAAAGCTTCAAATGATTTAGTTATTCTGAAGCTTGGATTTTCTCTGATGCAACAGCGAAATCAAGCAAGATCACACTGATGTAAGGAACAAATACGTATACATGTAATTCAACGAGAATGTAACACTTATGTAGAGGCCATGGACAGATGGTTAGGGTTCACCAGAGTTTTGCTTTGTTTATTCCTGGCCCCCAAATTTCTTTAATGTAAGTACATGTACTGTCTCCTGCTGTTTGGCGCCTAAGGGGGAGGGGGGGGCGACAGGAAACAGAGAGGTTCCAGCTAATGGGTTACATAACACTTCCTGTGCAGGTACTAAGGGCACTGCTAGTGCCTAAGGGCCCCCCCCCCACAGGAAACACTCAGAGAGGTTCCAGCTAGTGGGTTACATAACACTTCCTGTGCAGGCAGAACACTGTGGCTGTATGGTGGGATGGGAGCCTTTGTTCTCCGGGTCAGTCTCACCATGGTTTGACTTCATGCTTTTAGAGAATAATATAGACTCTCATGCAGTGTTTGCCTGATCTGTTTTATCACAGTTACATGTATGTTGTGTTTCATTTACTTGGATGAATGACAGAAAGGACTTTCCTTGAGGTTTTTAGCATTATTTCTTTACTTATTCAGTACCATAACTTTGGGCTCTTTGTTTGCAACAAAGTCCATGTACACAGGCAGAACATGCCGGAGGACAAATGATTTGATCCTCTCAAAGTGGTAGATGCTTGTATACATGTACATGCACATTGTAATACACTGTATTGCCAACGTTGAATCAGGATTTAGTCAAGAGCAGCTGAACTCTTTATTTTTCCATGACCATTCTGTATTTAACAGAATGTGTCTTTTTGTCACTTGATTCCTTTTGAACTTGCTGCATGCTAATGTGCTTCTGGATGTTCACAATATCCAGCCATTGTTGAGTAATAATTTTGGGAATGATTTCTGCGATTCTAATACTTAAGAAGTATGCAGCCCATGATTTTGATTTGCTCTACAATTGTATGTGGTTGTTGAGTCTTCATATTGCATGAAGTTGTGCCAGGGCCATGTATATTTGTAGGTTAAACATACGATGACCATGGTCTTGGGGTCTTATACAGTATATTGAGTAGAAATGTCTGTGCCGCACAGTACTCGCATTTCTCGGATCTCCGTGTTGATATTGGCATTGACGAATAGGAAAGTGTATTGTCATAATTTTGCCAATTATTTTAATTAGGATCTTGTATTCAATATGCATTTCGTGAATACTAAGGATCATTCCTATTCTATTTTCTAGTTTATACATGTACTTTTGTGAAAGTCACCAGCAAGTGAACTGCACTGTATATAGCACTTTGATGAGCATTATCAGCTGGTGTAAAGACAGGCATTTCCTGTAGTGGCATGCACTTGGAGAAGATCATGTGCAAACCACTCATGCATGAAGGCCGTTGAGTGACTCATACTCATAGATAGACTGCATCGAGAATCGATCCTCAATGATTGTGACTGATGTCTTAAGGAGTCGATATTCTTTTTGTCGACACTGGAATCGATTCTAGGGTTTTTGTGAAGTGTTCCATCATTTATTGCCACTGTTTGATATGCAAGGATTGAATGAGTCTGACGATTAAATTTTCAATTCAGTAAGACATTGTGCTTGGTAAAGAATAATTTATGTTTTTAGAATACTTGGTAAATGCTACAAGTTGTAAATGGTTCTCTGAGTCATTCTGACTTCATGCTTCGAGAGAGTAACATTGACTCCATACCACAGCTCATACAGCTTGAGAAATAAAGAAATTAACTCTAGCCTTCTCCATAAAAACTTGTGTCCTGCATGTTCAGTTTAACATCTGTTGTATGTTTGTTTTCTGTTTTACAGGAAAACATGAAAGATTGGACCATGGATGTGAGTGGCTTTGCGGGCACATCAACCTCAAGTGTACACCAACTGAATCTCACAGACACAGAACCACTGAACTGCAGTAATCTCTCAGACACTGAGACAGAGAGTAATTGCAATGTGACAGACTGTGATCCTTTGGAAGTGTCCAAATTCAGCAGTGTGACGGACACTGAACCGGTCTTTTGGTCGGGGTCCGAAGACTCTTTCTCATCAGAGGGATCATTTTCTGAGCTGAACTCATCAACACCATCAAAGCCAAGTTCTAGCAATGCTGTCCTAGAGCTTCAGGTATCTCCTGTTGGCAGTCATTTTCTTCCGGGGAGTAAGAGGTGCCAGAGAGAGCCTATTGAGATCTTGCTTGATAAGTGCTGTGAGAATAAATGCTTGAAAACACTGTCATTGCTAGATGTAGAACTTTGCCTGCTGGAAGTTCAGGACTTAGGAAGCACCCAGCAGAGGCAATTTATTGTGGACAATATTAGAGACAAATGTCAGTTTCTACAAAATCAAGATGGGAAAAGGCTTGTTAAAAGCCGGTTTCTTGTTCATGGCAAGCCAGTGTGTGAAAAAGCTTGGTGTTTGGCATATGGCTTCACATATAGAAGATACCTGAAGTGCGTGAAGATGGTGGAGGAAGGCATTAAGCAAGTCATTCATGGAAACAGCAACAGACAACGAATGAATGAAAAAACTACACAAGCACTAGGCTGGATGAAATTCTTGTTTGGACGCATCGGGGATTGGCTACCACACAAATCAGCTGTGCATCTGCCACCATCCTACACAAAGAAGTCCCTGTACAACCGCATGGTAGAAGAATTTTGTGAAAGAGGTGTCCAACAAGTAAACATCATCTCCTATGAGTATTTCACTACTATCTGGGCTGATCATCTGGCAAACTTTGTCATTGCAAAGGTAACGTACAGTGTATATGTTGTACTGTATTTTCGAGCACATCTCATTCTCATTTACGTATAATTATTACATATGTACTCAAATATATTTGGTTTTGCATTGCTTTGAAAGTTCTATAATGGTTTGTTGATCATACACTGTAGTCTATCATGTAGTTGATTGATCATAGTAGCCCAATAAAATACAGGTGTGTACAATTTAAAGTTAGGGTGTACACATGTAGCTAGTGCATTAAAGATTTTGTACTTTGCATATCAAAATCAAAATTGTGTTGTCAGAGATCAACATTTCAAACATCACATTAGCATTGAATTCCCGTAGATGAAATTTGTACATTTCAGTTGTCATAAATTCTGATGATTTCGCCACAGTGTAAGAGATTATTACCCATATTGTTTTATTTGACCACAGCGTTCAGAGTTTACAGAATGTACAACATGCACAACCTTGAAAGAGAGAAGAGGAAGAGCCCTTACAGATGTAGAGCAGAAACTTGTAACAGACTTAATGAAGCAACATGCGTCCACTGTTGAGTAAGTTCTAATGTATATGTACATTAATTGACATGTTGGGATATAGCATGAGGTGGTTGGGGACTGAGATTAGGGCTACATGTACATGTATGTAATTTACAAAAAAAATTGAAAAGATTTTATTCCAGAAAACAATTTACATGTTTCTAGAAAATGTAGTCTACAAAAATGGCATGTATCAGTCATGTATTCAAAAGTGGTGCACTATACCGTACCTCGCTTTCTTCACATTAAATTTCTCTCCAACTTCATTATTCTCCATCTCATGATCTGTTAAACATCTCTGTTGTCTGGACAAACAGTACATGTATATCATACTATGACTGAGGCCGAGGAAAAGGCCTGATTGCCCTTTCAAAATGTGAGGTGATGCAGTAAAAGAGGGTGCATCTTTTTGTAGCTCCCAGCAATGATTGATATATGTACATGTATCAACACATGTGCTGAACAGAGACCAAATGCGTTGCAGAAAACAGTCTGGTTTCTGCAAAAAAATCATTTGGTACTAAGTAATGACTTTTTTGGAAGAGCTACTGTATTAAAACCAATGCACATGTGCACATTGATATTTCTGGGGATTTTTCACGTCTGTGTGATTTAGTGTGTAAGTGTTGCATATCCACACCAAAATATGAAATAGACTGCACACTCATTGAAATTTACTTCACATTACAGAGTACAAAGTTTTTTCCATGTCGGTACTACTTTGCTTTTGGACTTTTGTATATACATGTGTATACATGTAGTACATGTAGTATGTGTTGAACCTAGAAAACTCTTTTTTACAGTGCTGCACAATGTATACTGGGTAACTGTATTGTAACTACATGTTCATATCCCTTACACCCTACATTTACATGTATTTAAAGGTATTTGATTTAATTTACAGTTCTCTTGACTGAGTGCCAGGTGTGGCCAAAATTTTAATTTGGAAAAAAATTTAATTTGAAAAAAATTAAGTGTTCAAAGAAGACCAACCACTAGAACATTGGAGTAAAGACCTCCTTGATTTTTGGTACTTTGGGTATTGATGATAACACTGTCTTGATGTACTGTTTTAATCATTTCAGGCATGAACGGAGAGCATATCATACTGCACGGGAAAGGGCTAGGTGTCATCCCACTGACCAGACCACAATCATTATTGATGGTATGGATCAGTCAAAAACTGATGTGCCCCACCTCATCAGACGGGACAAGGCAACTGTACACCTCAGTAGACTCCCTGTGCATATTACAGGTACAAAGTCATATCATTTGTCACCAGCTCCCCATAAACAGCCATATCACACATCTGGTTTTGTTTTTCCCTTCATAAAATACATTGGTCATGCTTAAGTTGTATATCATGGAATATTACATTCTTTTCCAATTACAGGTGTATTAATGCACACAGCTACTGCAGAGGGGAGGATCCCTTTAGTCTATCTTGATCATAAGGAAGTGCCCCATGACAGTAATTTAACACTTCACTGTCTTCTTCAAACGCTGATGAGGCATCAAGAGAAATTGGGAAAAACACTGTTTCTGCAGCTCGATAATTGTTTCCGAGAAAACAAAAACCGATACGTCATTGGTTTTGCAGCACTTCTGGTTGAATTAGATATATTTGAAGAGGTAAGCCAGCAGACTTATTTACATGTTAACATCCTATATGTAGAGCCAGTATTTCATGTACATGTATGCATGTTTGTATTTTCTTTGAACCCATATCATGACTACAGATATGTGTGGGTATGTGCGGCATACATGTACAAAGGCAGTGAGAGGTTTTTCAACTCACATGTCCTTTCATTGGTACTGTTGCAACACAAATGTGTGATTTCCAGCCAATGCATGTGATGTCTTAAGCTTAAGCATTGTTAGGAGTCCGGGATATTTGCATTTTCAAATATTTTTCCCAACATTAGACAGGATGAAAAGTTTTCTGGTAGACTTTTTAAAATAGTGTGTGCTACATGTAAATTTTGAATAGTAACCATACCTTGTATGCTTTAACCATGCTATTACTACCACTACCAATGCTGACCAACATTTTGACATTATCTATTTGTAAAAGGGTCACTTAACATTGCCTGTCTGTTCGCAGGTCACTATGCACTTTCTTCCTGTTGGTCACACTCATGAAGATGTTGATCAGCTCTTCTCTTGTATTTCAAGTAAGATACAAAGGACAAACATCTATACTCTGGATGGTATGTTTTTCGCCCCCGATGTGTTTTTTAGTTTTAAAATGGATCTGGTTTGTACATGTACATACATACACTTTCCATTTTCCATGATGACAGCTACGCATAAGAGTTGTAATTGTTTCCCTGAAAAGCTCACTTGCATGTATATATCTATTCTGCATGTTCATTTGTGGATGTATGTGCCATGTAAGCAGACTTGAATCTTTAATTAAATTGGACAATCCATGACAGTGAAATTTTATTCTTTCCTCATTTTCTGTATCACACAGTCCATCCAATTTTGTTTTGGTATGAAACTCAAGCTGAAGTACACTAAATGTTATGTTTCACAACTTGAATGAGATAGACTTGGACAAAATTTGCACTATAAACCAAATTCAAAAACACCCTATAGGTAGGTACTGTAAAAATTGAGATACATGTATATTATTGTTTATTTAACTTAATTACAGATTTGGAAAAAACAGTACGGGACAGTTACACGCCCATCATTACTCTTTGCCCTGCAACTCCACTCCTTGATGTGAAGACGTGGCTGGAACCTCATTTATTTGGGGATTACCACCATCATAGTCATCCTCATTGGTTCAAGTTCTCTAAAGTGGATGGAGTCTGTAGAATGCACTGGAGGATATGGGTCACAACCCCTTGGGAGCCCCAACAGGAACCTGATTCAGACAATGACGAGATGGACTTCCATAAAGGGCTGCGCTGTCTACACGTAAGTAGGATTATAATTGGGGGAAAAGCCTCTCGGCACATTTGCATGCATTTGTGCCTAATTTGTCTGCCAGGATCAAACAGATTTTCAGTGAGCAGGAGTCAAATCATTGTTCATGTCCTAGTACCACTCACATAAAGGTAAAATCTGTGAAGTACAAATAGGAGGACACATTGTATGCTTGGCCGAAGCACTTCCCGTGGACCTGTGGAAAATACAGTGACACATTCCTTTTGCTGTCTATTAACTAACTTTGGATGATCCCAGCAAAGATCCTTTGGGTGATATTGCAATGATAATATTGGGAATGAAGAGGTATCGAATAAAATACTTTTTCTGCAGAAACAAGATAAACATAAAATTAATCTAGAAAACATTGTGAAGATTTCATCATGGCAGTTGGTACAAAATCGTTGAAGTATGCAAAAACAGCTTTTAACTCACTTGGATGTTTGTAATATTACCATTTTTATTTCCAAAAACATTCTTTATACAACATAATGAATAATAGGTTTAACCTGTTCGAGGCTGTGGGAATGCTACTACATTAAGAACTAAATGTGCTTACACAGCACAATTTGTGTGAAAAAGGGGCTGTGTATATTTTATATTTGTAACTGAACAATACCCTTTAATCATCCATCAGAGTATTCCAGATTTGAACTCTCCACCATCTTGGGTTCAACCTTGCCTGGAAAAGGTAAACTTGTCAGCACTGACAAAAGACATCCTACAAAGTGAGGGGTACAAACTGAGACTGCCTGACTGTGCCAGATCTTGGTGGGAGAAGTTCCTTGCAAAGATGAAGGATTTGGAAAAGGTTAGAACAAAAACGGATTATGATTCGACCATTTTTATTGTTGCCGCTGACAAGCATTTCTGTCGTGTGATGTTCTCAAAATTACATACCCCAAAGGCAAAATGGCAACAAAACAATGATGGAGTTTAAGGTTTAACAGAAAAATATCTCAAGTCCATTCTCAAAATCAGTTGAATCTTGACATGCGTAAATGCAAATAGAGTGTTGTTTGGATATACAAGTTTTCATGGAGGTTGATTGTGCTCGATGGACACGCATTGCAGTGTTGGGTTGATACATAGAATAAATACTTTTTAAGATACAGCAGGTTATAAAGTTGAAAAACCACTTTGCAGATAATGCCATGTCAATCATTTTTCTTGGTATTTCACCTTCTTGTTAATGTAAGTAATTTGCATGCACATTGTTTCAACATGATTGCAATAATTTTTTTACATATACATGTATGTGAATTTCAAAGGTACCAGTTAGCCCAACTACATGGCCTGTTGTACAGCTTAAGGGATCTTGTTCTCATATCCACCAACCTGTGCCGTTAGATTTAGAGGAAATGCAAACTGCAATGGCAAAAGAGTATCCAAAGGTAAGTTGGACAGAATGTTACAATAATACTATCTGACTTTTAATGTCGGTGTGAAAGGTTCTCCTTTCGTGTCAAACTCTCAGTGGAGGGATGGGTTATTTTATTATGGTAATACCTTGTCTCAGTTTTCATTATTCCATTGGATGCTTCAGTGAAGCAAACGGACAAGCAAGCCAATTTAAATGGTATTTGTATTTTGGCACCAGTTAACGCGACTGAGAACTTCAGTGAATCCTGAAGTTTTAAAGTATTTAATCATTCTGTTTTGGCAATGTATCCTATGACTTTACCTTCATTCACTCAAACAGTCTATACTGAGTTTGTAAAATTATGTTCACTTTATGGGGAGATACAGTGTACATGGTATTTTTGTTCCACCAAGCAATTTACATTGCGTGTGAATGTTTCTTAAACATTTCTATTCTGGCGCTTCTTTAAAAAATTTTCTGCAGGTCACAATAGGACACCAAGGAAAAGTTAGAGAGAGAAATGTGACGCTGGAAGCTACAAGGTCTTCCATTGAGGAAGGTCAACTTGTGGCTCTCCACTTAGATGACAGAGCCAAACGGCCTTACATTGGTAAGGTTATGAAAATCAATGGCGAAACAATTGAAGTCCAGTGGTTTAAAGGCTCCTGGTTGAAGCCATGGGCAGAGATTAACCTAGGAGTTGGAAAAAACAGACGTCCGTACACAGATAAACTTCCAGTTGAGTCTGTCATTCTCTGGGGTTTTTCCTTGACAACAAGGAGTTGCCTGAATAGTGCAACAAGGACAGAACTTCGTGCCAAGTATGCTGAATTAGATGAAAAGCACATGCACTAATACAGCATCGATGTAAATATAAGTTCCAAGTATTAATTACAAAGGTTTTTCACAATAGCAGTTTCAAATGTTAATAATTCCTTGGTGTCAGGTCAACCCAATCAATCCTCCGGATTGTCATGGGTTTCCAAATTTTTCCGAAATCTAGTGTTGGTTTTATGGATTTGTGTCGTTTAAAACGTTTAGTAGAATTATTTGAAAAAAACAATATTCACCAACGATTTCGTAAAGTCTTGTACAGGCGATCAGGAAATACACAAACCTACATGTATGTTATTCCCTTTGAAATACTGAGGTAGAATGGGGTACTCACACTCATATTGGGGAATGTGTACAGTGGGTTCTGCATTTACATATACACTGTACGTGTGAAACAAACCAGCAATACATGCCATGTGTTTGGCACGTGTTGTTGCAGCAAGACATGGATGCAATTTTTAATTGTGTACGTGCAATTTCATGTAGCTGTCAACAGAAAAATCGGTTGATTTTTGGGATGTTTCCCCAGGATAATCTTTCAATAAATTGGCATAATGGAATATCACATACTGTAATTGACCAATATAGAAACCTATCTGTTGATGAAGGTGCCAAAATCTGTGGAGGTTTTTGTGGTTGGAGACGAGTAATTTCAAACATGGTGAAATGACTAAAGTGGAGAGGGAATACAATATACAGAGATTTCATCGTAAAAATTGAAAAAAGTTTGGACACTGCATGTGCTTGCGATTAGTTCTTAAAGTATGATGTTGGAGGCATTAAGGACAAAGTTTGTTGTCAAACAATGTGTGTACCAAACTGGGGAGTACCACACGGCATTGATGATACAACATAGTCCAACTAGGGTCTGTAAGGTACGCCAATTGTACCGAACTGGGGAGTACCACACGGCATTCATGATACAATATCGGCAATGTAGTGTCAGTAGGGTACGCCAATTGGCGTACCGAAGTGGGGAGTACCACACGGCATTCATGATACAATATCGGCAATGTAGTGTCAGTAGGGTACGCCAATTGGCGTACCGACCTGGGGAGTACCACACGGCATTGATGATACAATATCGGCAATATAGTGTCAGTAGGGTACGCCAATTGGCGTACCGAACTGGGTAGTACAACACGGCATTTATGATACAATATCGGCAATATAGTGTCAGTAAGGTACGCCAATTGGCGTACCGAACTGGGTAGTACAACACGGCATTGATGATACAATATCGGCAATGTAGTGGCAGTAGGGTACGCCAATTGGCGTACCGACCTGGGGAGTACCACACGGCATTGATGATACAACATGGTCCAGGTAGGGTCAGTAGGGTACGCCAATTGGCGTACCGAACTGGGGAGTACCACACGGCATTGATGGTACAATATCGGCAAGGTAGTGGCAGTAGGGTACGCCAATTGGCGTACCGACCTGGGGAGTACCACACGGCATTGATGATACAATATCGGCAAGGTAGTGTCAGTAGGGTACGCCAATTGGCGTACCGAACTGGGGAGTACCACACGGCATTGATGATACAATATCGGCAATATAGTGTCAGTAGGGTACGCCAATTGGCGTACCGAACTGGGTAGTACAACACGGCATTGATGATACAATATCGGCAATGTAGTGGCAGTAGGGTACGCCAATTGGCGTACCCACCTGGGGAGTACCACACGGTATTGATGATACAATATCGGCAATATAGTGTCAGTAGGGTACGCCAATTGGCGTACCGACCTGGGGAGTACCACACGGCATTGATGATACAATATCGGCAAGGTAGTGTCAGTACAGTACGCCAATTGGCGTACCGAACTGGGGAGTACCACACGGCAATGATGATACAACGTGGTCATTTTGGTTTCAGTAGGGGAGTGTCTGTTTTAGTATATCGCTCACGTACTGATCCTTTCTTTTTGAAATGTGAAGGACCCGAACTAAGATCTCATTCATGCTCTCCCATTTCGTTTTGAGCCTATCAGTATTTTATGTTCTATTTCTACATATATTCCCTCGGTTACTTACATGTAGATCGGTGTGTTTCTGTGATTTTTATTGTTGGATGTATAAATTTACTAAATTACCAATATTGTATCTTGAAAACCTTTCATTGAGATTGAATTTATTGTGAGCAATGGGGATTTCAGTATTTGTACAAAATAAAACAACTGCTAAGAAAAAGGGAAGATTTCTCATAAATTGCTTCTTTTTTAAAGGTTTTTTTACTTGTTAACGTGCTTTTACACTTTGGGCCTTTAAAAGCAGGCAATATTGTCTTCGGAAATACGTATTGATTGTTTAATTGAGAAAACTCCATTTTAGTTTGATCAATATATAGCTTTTCAGTATTTGCTGTATAAAATTATCTTTAACTTCTTTAGGAAATTCTCGCGTAAACTTTTTGAGCAGATACAATAACACACGTATTTCTGAAATTGCAATTTTTAAACGTCAGTTATCAGAATCCTCGGTACAACAATCCTCAATGCGAGGTTTACCTGATAAACCACATTAGTTTAGTCAATTATTTTGTATTTTTTTGCTGAAAAGTGAAAAAGTAGTATTTCCAAAAAAACCGAAATAGTTCCAATAGCG